TCGTCTCGGTCTGGCAATTGGGCCAGGCCCCCACCCCGCGCTGGCCGCCCCCTGGGTGGGCGGGACGACGCCTCTACCGTCCCGCAGCGCTGGCCTCGAAGAGGGGGGCACCCCTAGGTCAGCATCAGAAAACAGAAGACAAGCGACATGGGAGGTGCCGAAAAGCGCCAACCATGAGAGATGCCACAATAAGCTGGAATGAGGGAATGCTTCTGGATTGAAAAAGGGTTGATGGCCAGGCTGTTCTCTTTGTGTGGCATTTGCATCTGCGTCTGCGGGAAGGTTACAAGCCATGCTGTCAATTCGAGCAGAAACTCCAGCCACTGTTGTCAAGGACACATGCCCAAGCAAGTTATCAAGAACCCAAATTGGGCCTCTTTTCCTCATGCCTAGGTCACATCTGAGAGTTGTGCAACCCACCGCGGAGCCATAACTACAGCGGCCTTAATTCATGGTTCGCTTGCCAGGTTTGCGGGTGTTTGCAGTGCGTTTGCGGCGTGTGCGCGGGTGTCTTGTCTCAATGAACTATGGGGTGGCCAACGCACAACCCATGAGTGCATGCAAGTGCGCACGGGCATGCGTGCCTGCGTGCGGGCGGCCGGGCATGCGCGCTGCGTGCACGCGCGTAAGGTGCGTGTGCCTGTCCGCGCCCATGCAGTTCTTTTTATCCCCGATTTGCAAGCGGGACAGGAGAAGCTGGGGACTTGTCCTGTCTTATGCGAATGATTTGAAGGGGGGGGCAGGGGTTGCGACTTTCGCACGCTCTTAGCAAGAGGCAGAAACTGCACAGGCACTCTTAGCTGATAGTTTCTTTTGCATCATGTTTACATATTTTCCAGAAACGTCCTCCATGGCACCATGATAGTTCTGGACTTTCGATCAAAGGTGCCTAAATCAAGGCTATTTTGTGGCTTCGAGCCTGTCAGAGGTGTTTGCGCCCAATATCACCAGGATGCCTTGCCTGCTGAAACTTTCGTTGTTGGGAGAAGCAAGATTTTGCGATCAACTTGGTGGTGAAGCTATCCTAACCGGGATTTGACATGTTTACCTTACTCGTATTTTCTTTGCCACTCGGACATGAAGATGCCAAACAGCCTGCAGCCCCATCAACAGGCCCAAAGTAGATTCGGAAGCGGCCCACGTGCCCCTCCTCGATGACATGCGCAGCCTTTGGTCGGCGAGTGGGAACATGGGTAGGTTCTGGCATAGCTTCGCCCTGTGTGCGGCTCTGGTGATGTCTCTGCTGATGACGCCGCTCTCTGATGTCTCCGATGCGGAGAGCTCAGATGATGCAGGGCAGTACTTCCAGGTTGGCGCCACCTTCTTCGCCGTCGCTATGATGGTGTGGAGCCTTTGCTTTGAAGTCACAGCTCGATGGCTTTAGGGCCCCCGCTCAATTCAATTCAAGAGCGTGCAGCACTGGAATCTGTGAGCCGCGTGAATTCTCGAGGGCCGTGTTTAATTATGGCGGGGCCATGTCGGGTTGAAGCCCAAATGTGCGCTGCACAGGACCTTCGTCGCCGCCTGGCTGTGCTACAGCAGCCCTTTGCTCTCTGAGGAGGTCCGCAAGTCAAAGATCGAAGGGGAGGCCTGGGCTGGCACGCGGAGCCTGACGTGTAAGCGAGACGGCTCTAAACAAAACAGACGGGTTTGGCCTTTGTCAAAGGTGATCAGGTTGCATGTTTAGATGAGGTGAGCCAACAAAATCTTGGGAAGAACCTACATCCGTTGATCCGTTCTTTTTGTCATTTCGCTTTGCATTCGCGAGGTGTCGGAGGTGTCGGAGCGGGTGCTGCAACGGGTAGCGCAGGGCTTCGCTGACTTCATCGTGGAGAACAGCCGGCGGCTCGCCAAGCGCCCGGGATCCGCTCCTGTTAGGCTTTTGGCCTCGCCCAAGACCCAGCTCAACGTGAGGGGCGAATGCGACATACGTGCATACGTGTGACGTCCCCTTTTCGGGCGGGGTTCTTGTTTGGGTACAGATGGGACAGTGGGCTAGAGGCATTTGAGTTTTTTGCTCGGCTAACAGCGTCAGTCGCTGCACAAGGGTTAGGCAACCCAAGATGTAAGGCCGGGTGCCTTCGCCAGTGCGAAGGGGTGAGCTTGGCGGGCCGGAGTCGAACAAAAGGTTAAGCCGTAGCAGCCAACCCCTGGTTCCGTCCTGGGGCTGGCCAAAGATAAACATTTGTTGGAACTGAGGTGGAACCAGTGCTAGTATGTTCCATGTACAGGTACATGTACACATATTCATATACAATTTCCGCCGCTCATGGATTTCCTGGCTTTGCAATGCTCCTATTTTTTTCTGCTCTCAGGAAGGAGAGCGGGGAGCGGAGCCTGGACCTCGCGAAGCTGGAGGAGCTAGTGGCGGTGGCGCCGGCCGCGGCGGCCTCTGCTTTGTACGGCTACGGGCTGAAGGACGCGGGGTTCAACGGGCCGACTTTGGTGATAGGAAACGTATGAAAAAGTTAAGAGTTGGCGCCCTTCCTTGTCCACAGGCTTTCAAGGCAATCCGAAAGGGAACCGGTTGTCAGCACTTGGGGCCCCACCTACAGGACACGTTCCCAGAGGTGTCCGTTGGGTTAGCAGTAGTAGATGGATTACACTCGTTCCACTTTGGCTCTCATCATTATCACTGGGGCCGAATCTATCTATTAGGCCAAGGGGTGGCCGGGGTTGGCCGTACAGCGGAGGCGTGCTTGTTAGACTACCTTGCTGGGAGAGTGCCCGGGCCCTTCCAAAAGTAAAGGGTTCTTTGAAGTTATACCGAACCTCTGCAACAAAAACAGTTGACAAAGAACCACACAGACATTCAGTTTGACATGAGCTTGGGCATGGACGGAGCATTTTTAGGTACGCGGTATTTGACCAAGGCTTGTCTTTTGACCCTGGGACTTGGGCGGGGGTGGCCCTGGGCTTTTCAACATTGCAGACATTGCAACTGAAGTCCGGACAAGACGTCGCATTTTGGCAATGGCCCGGCCCACTTCAAGGAGGTGAAGCCAAACCTTTTGGGGTTGACTGGCCAGTCCCAATGACATGTTTGTTGATTTGTCCGTCATTCCGCTTCGCTTTTTTAGAAGCAGTCCCGGACAGCCACGCGTCCCAGGATAAGGACAAGGACTGGCCAAAGGCTTGCGGCTGCGCCCAAAATCTGGAGAGCTGCAAAACCTGCAGCAAGGCCTTGCCTCAGCTGGACGCGCCCCACCTGAGCTACTTCAAGGAGTTGCTGCGGGACCGTCTGGTGGCCAACCTCATGGGTGACGGCCAGAAGCTCTCGGAGGGGGAGATCACAGGCCTGCCGAGCCTGCGGCCTGAGACGGCCGCGACGGCTGCCCTGGAGGAGCTGATCCGTGGGATTTTGCAGTGCCCCGTGGATGAGGTGAGCTTTGGGAAGAAGGATGCCAGTGCAGCGAGCATGGCAGACCACGCCCGCGAGGTGGGGAACAAGTGCTTTAAGGAGCGCCAGTACGCAGCCGCTGTGCACTGCTACGAGGTGGCGGTGTTGCTGTGCCCCAGCGGCGCCTCCTGCCCCACCGAGCAGCTTGCGACCTGCCACTGTAACTGCGCACTGGCCTGCTTGCACTTGCAGCGGTACAGCGACGTCATCAGCGAGTGCCACACCGCGTTGGTCCTGGTGCCCTCGCTGGCTTTGACGGTCAAAGCACTGCAGCGGCTGGCGGTGGCGCACGTGCACCTGAAGAACTACTGGGAGGCCGTGCGCTGCCTGCAGACCTGCCTAGACCTGGAGCACAGTGCCCCGACCCAGAAGCTCCTGGAGTACGTGCGCGCCCAGATGGTCGAGGAGACGGAGAAGTTAGAGAAGCTGGAGAAGGACAAAGAGAAGTTGGAGAAGCCAGAGGCTGGGCGGCTCAGGTGGTCTGAGCTCGCGGTCCAGTGCACAATGCGGGACAAGTCGAGAAGGAAAAAGGGCAAGAGGAGAGTCCCCGGACCCAGTTCCGATGACATTCGCCAAGCTGATCGAGATGCAGGCCTTTGGCACAGCGTTATTTCGCACAACTCCAAGCTCTACATCTTCGGAGGCTTGCCTGATGGCGATTCGCGTCTCGAGGTGAGCGGCACGGGCTCTGACGAGTTGCACATTTTGGACCTGGGCACGATGGAGATGCGGCAGATCTCGAAGGCACCGCACCCGTGCTTCGGGCACTCCGCCACCGTTGTGGGCAACAGCATGGTGGTTTTCGGTGTGGAGAACCTCATGGTCTACGACTTGCTCTTGGGCACCTGGCGGAGCCAGCGGTGTACGGGCACCCCTCGTCGGCAGGGCCACTCGGCGACGGCGGTGGCCAAATCGATTTGTGTCTTCGGGGGCCTGGAGCTGGCGGAGCAGGGCATCGGCCGCGTGTACAACGACGTGCTGATGCTGGACACCTCTGCCCGAGACTGGGTCTGGCGAAAGCTGGACTGCACGGGCCACGCGCCCCCAGCGAGGTTTGGGCACTCCGCCACTTTGCTGCAGGAGGCCACGTTGCTGATCTTCGGGGGCCGCGACCACATGACTTCAAGGAGGGATGAACTGCTCCATGACCACACAGGCCTCCACCTCTTGGATGTCTCAAAGCAGATGCCTTGCTGATGTCCTCGACCTTTTTTTCCAGTTTTCTCGCCCTTCATCGGGCGAGGCCCAGAACGTTCCGTTTTTGCTGATACTGGCAAGCAGTGCACGTCACGCAATGTTGTCGCTTTGGAGTTTCAATCTATTTTGTGGCAGTGACCCTCAGCCGAGGATTTGGAAAGAGCAGCCTTTTGCCGGCAGACCTCCCGAGGCTTTCTGCCATTCCAGCTGCCTCATGGGTCAGCACCTGCTGGTCCTTTGCAGCGGTAAAGCCACGGAGTGCTGGGGGGGGGAGGTTCCCCAAGATGCAGTGGATGTGTTTTTGACCTGCCAGGTAGGGTTCTACAAGGATGAGGCCAACCGCATCTGCTTTACTTTGCTTTGGGTCACATTGCGTGGCCAAAAGTAAACCAAGCACAAGTGCAACGAAACCCCCCCGGGTGTTACCTGTTGCGATTGTACCCGAGGTATGCCACATCCCACCCAAAGAGCCCAAATTGCATTCCTGAGTATGCTCCACCCAGGGTGCTTGTAGTTGTTCCAGCGCTCCCGCCCCAAGTGTTTCCCGAAGCCCCCAGAACGTGGGATCCTGGGCAGCCTGGTGAGATTCAAGCTGGACCAAGCCGAACCGAGCTGAACGCCGAACCGCGCTGCAAGTTCAACCCAGCTGAACCAAGCCAACCAAAACAAGGGAGACAAAAAGAAAGGCAACCAAAGCAAAAAGTGGGAGACAGAACATCAGAATGTCAAATCAACGCCTCCTCCTGGAGGACGTGGAGATCTTCCTCCTGGACGTGTGCTCCTGGACCTGGGCCCAGGCCTCGCCCAGCGGCCCGGCGCCGCCGGCGCGCCTGGGCCAACAGGCGGCGCAGGTGGGCGAGGCGCTGTACCTCTTCGGGGGCCTGGTGCTGCGCGACGGGGACGCGGGGGTGGACAAGGCGGGGCTTGGGCGTGGGTTTGAGGACCAGGGTTCGGGGGAGTGGGGAGCTTTCTTGTTTGGAGGGTCAGGAAGCTCATTGGCTCGGCATGCTTGGCAGGGTGCAAGCTTTGGAGTGGCTGGAACTTGGAATGCAACGCATCGTTTCCGCCAAGGGAGTTTTAGGTTCTATCCGCCGAGAATTTTACCCTTGATTGCCTTGGCCTGGCAAAGTAATGAGTTGCAAGCACTTGCTTGCATTCTTTGCTTGCAAAAAGCCGCGGCTTTCATATTGCCATTGGTTCGAGGTTCGAACACGGGAATGAGCATTCAACTCAAGCGCCAGACGCATCTCAAGCTGAAGCCGCTTCCATCGGGCGCAGGCCGTGTACATGCTCTCCCCCGAGGGCGAGCTGGTGGAAGTCCAGGCGCCAGAGGAGTCCAGCGCAGAGAAGGAGGAGCTGGAGAACGAAGAGGCGGGTTCGATAGCGCAACGCAGGATTCCGTTTTTTTTTGGGTCCAAGGTAGGCAAAACCGGGGTGAGTATTTAGACTGTTCTTCTGGAGTTAACAAAGTGTGAAACTGAAGTGGCTTCCCTTTAAGCTGCCACTTGAGGGGTGACTTTGGCGATTGCAAGAAAATGGGGCCAGCCAAACCCAGCGGTTCCGCTTTTGGGAAATCGGCCACGCCTGGGTTGAAGTCTAAGTCAAGCTGAGCTAGAGATATGTTCCCGAAACATGCTAGACAATTTAATCGGGTTTTGCAACGCCCATGCCGAATATATGCATTTCGCATACTAGAAACCAGACAAAAATACCGCACAACTATGCTGGACACATGCTATGCATTTTGTGGGACACGTGCAACAAACTCGACGGAAATGCAAACAGCCAAACAAACACAAAACCAAATGCTCCCCAATGAAAATGGCAGTGGCTCAAAATTAAAGCGCCAGGGCAACGCAGGTTTTAGTCTTTGGTTCCATTTGCCAAGGGGGCCATTTTGGTACATGTTTTTGCCACAGCCAAATGTGAATCCATGTCTGACAAGTGACAACCTTTTGCGTGTTCCTTCCGTTGCGTCAGTTTTTGCTAGACCCGGCATATTTCAGACACACTTCAAGGAAACGCACGCAAAAGACAACACCAAGCAAGCCTCGAGAAGAACAATCAACACAACACACTGTTTCAAGCTGACAACCGTTTTTTCTTTTTTCCTCCACTCGAGTTTGCGTGCAAGTAATGCATCTGACAGAAGTTGCACAACAGGAATAACTTATTTGCTTCGTGACCTGCAAGGCATCCCAAGCCTGCAAAAATGACAAAGCCAGAACGCAACGAACAACTTAGTGTCCTTTTCTTTTTCCGGACTTCACGTAGAATTTTGTAGCACATCTTGGGCAACCAGCGTGAAGGAAGCAGCGTCTTGGGTCGCCAATGCCCCGAAAAAAGGTGGCGTAGAGTGGCGTAGACTGGCGTCTATGAATTCAAGGTTCCGCCATGTTCCGCCATGTCCCGGTGAGGAAGTCGAGGAGCTGAGCTTCGAGGAGCTGCTGGAGCAGGAAAAGGCCTTCTTCAAGTTGCAAAACAAGACGTCCTTCCCGCGGGAAGTCCGCAAGAGCAAGAAGACTCGGTGAGCTCAACTAGAAATGCGATGGCCAAAAGAAGTGGCAGTCAGGCAATGCAAGTGTGAGCAAAAAGGAACCGCTTTGCTTTAAGATGTGCATCCGGTGCCGGAGCAAAAGCAACATGTCTTTGATATTTTGCAAAGAATCTTCAGCAGGGAGTGTCTGGCACCATGTGAAGTTGCCTTAGCCTTTCAGGCTGAAAGCAGAGGAGACGAATGAATTTGAATTGTCAGAAGGCCCGCGGGTTCGAACTTGGATTGGAGACGATTGAAATGAGGGCTTGATCCACTGACAAACTTGCGAGCAGCGCTTTGGGTCGGGCACACGGCCTCAGCTTAGGCTGCAAAGCACTCCTCGTGGAGTCCGGTGTCAAGCCAGGGCCTCTGCACTGGGGAAGGGGAGGGGGAGCAGACAGCGCCAAGAGATCGTGTGTGGGGCAGACGCCTGGGGCATTGCTTGGAGATGGCCAACACTCGTTAAGCAAAGCTTGTAGCTTGAGTCAGGAGCTGGCCAGGCATAACCTGAAATTTGGTCAAACGCCGGGACCGGCTCAGGGATAGAATGAGATCCGCCATTGCAGCTCGGGGCTATTGGTCTTTCGGATGTGGGCCGGCCGAGGATCACGTCCAGGTGGCCAACCCACAGGAGGCAGAGCCCGAGAGTGAGGATGAGGCTCGCCACAGATCCTGCAAGTTGCAAGACATCATTGACCGCAACGGAAGGAGATCTTGCCAGATCCTGGGCAATATAATAATGGTGCTGAATGCAGGGTGTGCCATCCGTTGGCCATTCAAGACTTGGGTCCCGTGGCACAGGTGGATGAGGCCTGTCGCCATGAAAGTATCCCATGCCAGGCGGGGGTTCTGTTGGATGCCGGGGCCGTCTCGAATATTGTTATCAAACGGATGCTGTAGTCTTGGCCACAGGGGAATGGTCAGGGCATTGTATTCAACTACTTGTTTCCTTTGACCGCAATTGAAACACGCGTGCGCGCACAGACATTTCAAACAAGAAATGAATGACTCCTTTTCTAGAGTTTAGCAGGTCTTTTGAGCCTCGGAGGTGGTATGCTACTCAGATGCACCTATCTAGCTAAATTGCTTGGCTCGTAATTATCCGCAGCTCCTGGCTCTTTTTGAGCTCCCTTACCCGTTTGGCCTCCCCAAAGCATCGGCATGCGGAGCAGAGAGAATGACTTCCACGCCCCCCCCCTCACCCCCGGGTTGGCTGCCATGAGGGATGCTGCACGATGGCATGGCAAAAGGAGGCAAATGCTCATTGTCCCATGGATTGCCTCAGGAGGAGAATCCGAGCCATTGGCCATGAGCCAAGTGAACGCAAATGCCAAAGCAGTGTTGCATCTTCCCGGGTCGCATCCGCGAAGTGTTCCTAGAATGTTGTGTTTCTTTGGTTTGAACAAGTATTGGGCCATTTTTTGCCGGCAGGCTGCTTTCCGTCCTGTGGCCCACAGGGGCATGGAGGAGGAGGACGGCTGGAAAATGTGGTGAGCTTGTTTATGTTTGGGATGGTCGGCTTCGCAAAAAGATCAGGAGAGACATCAGCACCTTCCTACCCTCCGGATCCCTCCGAAGAGGTTTATCAGAGCCCTTCTAAGAAGGTTCGAAAGGCCTTGTGCAGAGGTTCTGTGCGCATTTTGTTCGGGATGTTCTTTCCACCCACTGACATCGAGCTTTTTTGAGCTGACTTTCTGGAAGCTCCCTGACAAGCTCCAGGAGCCTCGGCTGGAGCGCGTGTCGCAGGAGAGGGCTTGGAACCCTTCGAGTTTTTTAGGCACGAAGAGATGTCCTACATCAATATGTGATATGTGCATAAATGGGCAATATGTACGCCCAGAAATGCACTCATGTTTCCGACCCCTGCTTGACATTCAGTCACCCGATCGATTTAGTCTGGAGTGGCCAGTGCTGGGTGCTGAGGTTGCGAGCAGTTGCAATATATAGCAAAAGGGTCGCAGAGAGATTCAACAGTGATGGCCCGCCAAGCTCGCTTCTCTCTGCGTGGTTCCTAGGTTGCCTGCATTTGGTCAAAGAAGAGCACTGGTCCACGCGGGATTGCGAGAGACCAGCAACCAGCAACCAACCCAACAATTTCACTTGATGTTATGTTTCCCCATTCTTTTGCTGATTGTTTGTGAGTGTCTTCAGTGTGTGAGATGCGGAAATGGCCATGAGCTAAAGTCGATCCGCCAGCGCCTAATTCTTGATATGGGGATATGTGTCTTGCCCAGCCTAACGCGGCTGGCCACTTCTGACGGGTGTTCAGCTTGTCATCCCATGATTTGCTGAGTGGTTGGCTGGTGGGTTTTCATTTGGCAGATTCTGGGGATTTATTCATCATAAATTATAATATGAACATGTTGCATTGCATTGCTGCATGGATCCTCTGACAAACAAAACTCTACCAAGCAGCTCAAGCTCAACAGACCATTGCAAAGCAGAGCCATTTGTGCTTCCGCAAAAGTTTCGACCGGTTTGGCTTAGGGTATGTTAAGGCTAGGCTTGGGGTGAGTCGAGGATTGAATGTGCGCAGAAAACTCAAGATGAGGCTGGCAGAAGCCGCCATCACACCCGCAGGGGGCAAAAATCCTGGCGTGCCCATGATACTTTGGGGCAAAAGTGCGATCACACAACACAAGGGTGCGTGTCAAACTTTGGACCCCCGAACAACTCGCGGGGGGTTCCCTTTTAACGCAAGCAACACTACATGCCCATTCACCGACGGATGTGAACGGGGCATGTCAGGAGCGCCGGGAGCAGCAGGCACGGGCACGTGGAGTGTTCGCATGCGGGCGATTGGAGGTTGACACGTTGGGGGGGGGGGGGGGCAAAATGCGTGGTTTTTGATTGGTGCCCGCTCACAGACCCGAAACCTGATTATTCTCAAATGCATTCACATGCCAGGGAAGCGTGGTGGCCTGTCCAGTAGCGGCCTTAGCTTTCACCCTGCAAACGTGCCCCAAGTTCTTCCGCAAGTTGCAACTTGGGGCCAAACGGTTTGCTGTTCATTGGCCTGCAGCGCAAAGTCGTGCAAGAGCTTTACTTTTGGCGCTGTGAGCAAAGTCTCCTTCTGCAAGACAACTTTTGCCCCTGACGGCGATGATATGCCAGCCAAGTGAGAAATGCGATTGGGTGGCCAAGGTGGCACTGGTAGAAGAAAGCAGCGGAAGCACACATGTGCAGACAATTCAAGAGGTGAGGAGGCAAGAGCAACAAGAAGCAGAGAAGGAAAGGAGACGTGCCAGAGAAGAGCTCGAGAGGCTGCAAGCTGACCAGGGGGAGGAGGAGAAGCAGCGTGAGCTGGAAAGGCTGAAGATAGAAGAGGAGGAGAGGCACAGAAAGCAACTCGAGGAGCCGCAGAAGCGCGAAGAGCAAGAGCGACAGCAGCAGCAGCAGCAGCAAGAGGCAGAAGAGAGCATGCGAATGGCCGCCGCGGAGGAGCTGCAGCGCAAGCAAGAGGAGGCAGAAGCAGAGCGGCAGAGACTGCAGGAGGAGAGGCGTGCCAGAGAAGAGCTCGAGAGGGTGCAAGCTGAGCAGGAGCAGGAGGAGAAGCAGCGTGAGCTGGAACGGCTGGAGATAGAAGAGAAGGAAAGGCAGGGAAAAGTTCGCGAGGAGCAGCTGAAGCGAGAAGAGCAAGAACGACAGCAGCAGCTGCAGCAAGAGGCAGAAGAGAGCATGCGACTGGCCGCCGCAGAGGAGCTGCGAAAGCGTGCAGAGGCAGAAGAGGCAGAAAGGCAGAGGCTGCAGAAGGAGGAGGAGGAGAGCCACGCCAGAGAAGAGCTCAAGAGGGTGCAAGCTGAGCAGGAGCAGGAGGAGAAGCAGCGTGAGCTGGAACGGCTGAAGATAGAAGAGAAGGAAAGGCAGGGAAAAGTTCGCGAGGAGCAGCTGAAGCAAGAAGAGCAAGAACGACAGCAGCAGCTGCAACAAGAGGCAGAAGAGAGCATGCGACTGGCCGCCGCAGAGGAGCTGCGAAAGCGTGCAGAGGCAGAAGAGGCAGAAAGGCAGAGGCTGCAGAAGGAGGAGGAGGAGGAGGAGGAGGAGGAGGAGGAGGAGAGCCATACCAGAGAAGAGCTCGAGAGGCTGCAAGCTGAGAAGGAGCAGGCGGAGAAGCAGCAGGAGCTGCAAAGGCTGAAGATGGAAGAGGAGGAGAGGCAGCAAAAACAACACGAGGAGCAGCAGAAGCGCGAAGAGCAAGAGCGACAGCAGCTGCAGCAAGAGGCAGAAGAGAGCATGCGAATGGCCGCCGCAGAGGAGCTGCGAAAGCGTGCAGAGGCAGAAGAGGCAGAAAGGCAGAGGCTGCAGAAGGAGGAGGAGGAGAAGAGCCACGCCAGAGAAGAGCTCAAGAGGGTGCAAGCTGAGCAGGAGCAGGAGGAGAAGCAGCGTGAGCTGGAACGGCTGAAGATAGAAGAGAAGGAAAGGCAGGGAAAAGTTCGCGAGGAGCAGCTGAAGCGAGAAGAGCAAAAACGGCAGCAGCAGCTGCAGCAAGAGGCAGAAGAGAGCATGCGACTGGCCACCGCAGAAGAGCTGCAGCGCAAGCAAGAAGAGGCAGAGGCAGCAGAGAGGCAGAGGCTGCAGGAGGAGGGGCGTGCCAGAGAAGAGCTCGAGAGGCTGCAAGCTGAGAAGAAGCAGGCGGAGAAGCAGCAGGAGCTGGAAAGGCTGAAGATGGAAGAGGAGGAGGGGCAGAGCAAGGAATACGAGGAGCAGCAGAAGCGCGAAGAGCAAGAGCGACAGCAGAGGCAGCAAGAGGTAGAAGAGAGCATGCGAATGGCCCACAGAAAGCAACTCGAGGAGCAGCAGAAGCGCGAAGAGCAAGAGCGACAGGAGCGGCAGCAAGAGGCAGAAGAGAGCATGCGAATGGCCGCCGCGGAGGAGCTGCAGCGCAAGCAAGAAGAGGCAGAAGCAGAGAGGCGGAGGCTGCAGGAGGAGAGGCGTGCCAGAGAAGAGCTCGAGAGGCTGCAAGCTGAGAAGCAGCAGGAGGAGAAGCAGATGGAAGAGAAGGAGAGGCATAGAAAGCATCTCGAGGAGCAGCAGAAGCGCGAAGAGCAAGAGCGACAACAGCGGCAGCAAGAGGCAGAAGAGAGCATGCGAATGGCCGCCGCGGAGGAGCTGCAGCGCAAGCAAGAAGAGGCACAAGCAGAGAGGCAGAGGCTGCAGGAGGAGAGGCGTGCCAGAGAAGAGCTCGAGAGGCTGCAAGCTGAGAAAGAGCAGGCGGAGAAGCAGCAGGAGCTGCAAAGGCTGAAGATGGAAGAGGAGGAGAGGCAGCAAAAACAACACGAGGAGCAGCAGAAGCGCGAAGAGCAAGAGCGACAGCAGCTGCAGCAAGAGGCAGAAGAGAGCATGCGAATGGCCGCCGCGGAGGAGCTGCAGCGCAAGCAAGAGGAGGAAGAAGCAGAGAGGCAGAGGCTGCAGGACGAGAGGCATGCCAGAGAAGAGCTCGAGAGGCTGCAAGCTGAGAAGGAGCAGGCGGAGAAGCAGCAGGAGCTGGAAAGGCTGAAGATGGAAGAGGAGGAGAGGCACAGAAAGCAACACGAGGAGCAGCAGAAGCGCGAAGAGCAAGAGCGACAGCAGCGGCAGCAGGAGGAAGAAGAGAGCATGCGAATGGCCGCCGCGGAGGAGCTGCAGCGCAAGCAAGAAGAGGCAGAAGCAGAGAGGCAGAAGCTGCAGCAGGAGAGGCGTGCCAGAGAAGAGCTCGAGAGGCTGCAAGCTGAGAAGGAGCAGGCGGAGAAGCAGCAGGAGCTGGAAAGGCTGAAGATGGAAGAGGAGGAGAGGCAGCAGAAACAACACGAGGAGCAGCAGAAGTGTGAAGAGCAAGAGCGACAGCAGCGGCAGCAAGAGGCAGAAGAGAGCATGCGAATGGCCGCCGCGGAGGAGCTGCAGCGCAAGGAGGCAGAAGCAGAGAGGCAGAGGCTGCAGGAGGAGAGGCGTGCCAGAGAAGAGCTCGAGAGGCTGCAAGCTGAGAAGGAGCAGGCGGAGAAGCAGCAGAAGCTGGAAAGGCTGAAGATGGAAGAGGAGGAGAGGCAGCAGAAACAACACGAGGAGAGGCAGAAGCGTGAAGAGCAAGAGCGACAGCAGCGGCAGCAAGAGGCAGAAGAGACCATGCGAATGGCCGCCGCGGAGGAGCTGCAGCGCAAGCAAGAGGAGGCAGAAGCAGAGAGGCAGAGGCTGCAGGAGGAGAGGCGTGCCAGAGAAGAGCTCGAGAGGCTGCAAGCTGAGAAGGAGCAGGCGGAGAAGCAGCAGGAGCTGGAAAGGCTGAAGATGGAAGAGGAGGAGAGGCAGCAGAAACAACACGAGGAGCAGCAGAAGCGCGAAGAGCAAGAGCGACAGCAGCGGCAGCAAGAGGCAGAAGAGAGCATGCGAATGGCCGCCGCGGAGGAGCTGCAGCGCAAGCAAGAGGAGGCAGAAGCAGAGAGGCAGAGGCTGCAGGAGGAGAGGCGTGCCAGAGAAGAGCTCGAGAGGCTGCAAGCTGAGAAGGAGCAGGCGGAGAAGCAGCAGGAGCTGGAAAGGCTGAAGATGGAAGAGGAGGAGAGGCAGCAGAAACAACACGAGGAGCAGCAGAAGCGCGAAGAGCAAGAGCGACAGCAGCGGCAGCAAGAGGAAGAAGAGAGCATGCGAATGGCCGCCGCGGAGGAGCTGCAGCGCAAGCAAGAGAAGAGGCAGAAGCAGAGAGGCAGAGGCTGCGCAGGAGAGGCGTGCCAGAGAAGAGCTCGAGAGGCTGCAAGCTGAGAAGGAGCAGGCGGAGAAGCAGCAGGAGCTGGAAAGGCTGAAGATGGAAGAGGAGGAGAGGCAGCAGAAACAACACGAGGAGCAGCAGAAGTGTGAAGAGCAAGAGCGACAGCAGCGGCAGCAAGAGGCAGAAGAGAGCATGCGAATGGCCGCCGCGGAGGAGCTGCAGCGCAAGCAAGAGGAGGCAGAAGCAGAGAGGCAGAGGCTGCAGGAGGAGAGGCGTGCCAGAGAAGAGCTCGAGAGGCTGCAAGCTGAGAAGGAGCAGGCGGAGAAGCAGCAGAGCTGGAAAGGCTGAAGATGGAAGAGGAGGAGAGGCAGCAGAAACAACACGAGGAGAGGCAGAAGCGTGAAGAGCGAGCCAGCAGCGGCAGCAAGAGGCAGAAGAGACCATGCGAATGGCGCCGCGGAGCTGCAGCGCAAGCAAGAGGAGGCAGAAGCAGAGGGCAGAGGCTGCAGGAGGAGAGGCGTGACAGAGAAGAGCTCGAGAGGCTGCAAGCTGAGAAGGAGCAGGCGGAGAAGCAGCAGGAGCTGGAAAGGCTGAAGATGGAAGAGGAGGAGAGGCAGCAGAAACAACACGAGGAGCAGCAGAAGCGCGAAGAGCAAGAGCGACAGCAGCGGCAGCAAGAGGCAGAAGAGAGCATGCGAATGGCCGCCGCGGAGGAGCTGCAGCGCAAGCAAGAGGAGGCAGAAGCAGAGAGGCAGAGGCTGCAGAAGGAGAGGCGTGCCAGAGAAGAGCTCGAGAGGCTGCAAGCTGAGAAGGAGCAGGCGGAGAAGCAGCAGGAGCTGGAAAGGCTGAAGATGGAAGAGGAGGAGAGGCAGCAGAAAGAACACGAGGAGCAGCAGAAGCGCGAAGAGCAAGAGCGACAGCAGCGGCAGCAGGAGGCAGAAGAGAGCATGCGAATGGCCGCCGCGGAGGAGCTGCAGCGCAAGCAAGAGGAGGCAGAAGCAGAGAGGCAGAGGCTGCAGGAGGAGAGGCGTGCCAGAGAAGAGCTCGAGAGGCTGCAATCTGAGAAGGAGCAGGCGGAGAAGCAGCAGGAGCTGGAAAGGCTGAAGATGGAAGAGGAGGAGAGGCAGCAAAAACAACACGAGGAGCAGCAGAAGCGCGAAGAGCAAGAGCGACAACAGCGGCAGCAAGAGGCAGAAGAGAGAATGAGAATGGCAGCTGCAGAAGCGCCACAGCGCAAAGGAGAGGAGAAGCTTGCCAGAGAAGCGCTTGAGAGGCGGCGAGCGGAGAAGTTTCAGGCAGAGAAGCAGCGGGAGCTGGAAAGGCTGAAGATGGAAGAGGAGGAGAGGCAGCAAAAACAGCACGAGGAGGAGCAGAAGCGGGAAGAGGAAGAGCAACAGCAGCACGAGGCAGAAGACAGCGCGTGAAAAACGGTTGCTGTTGGGGGTTTATGCGGTTGAAGTTGGAAGAAGCAAATGGGTGGAGGTTGCAGGGGAAGTGTGCTCTTCTGAGAGAAAGAGAACCTGCCTGTGTTATGCAATGCAAATTGCCGCCTTTCTTTACCTCCTGCGCCTTGGAAGGGTGGGTGATATTAATATGAGAACCGCAGTAGTCTATGGTCCATTTGAAATGGACATGAAGGAAGTCGTGTAGTTTCGGTCAAGGCAGGAGGAATGTCCAGTTTGGAAACCCAGAGCTGGCCGCTCAAGCAATGACCAAGTCATTGAGTACAGTCTTCGTTGGGTTTCAACGTTTCGTTTGCTGGCGGTCTTTTTTGTTGTTGACCGGGGCTCGTCGCCTCTACAAGGGAAACAAAAATGGGCCAAGGGTGATTTTTGCTTCCGCTCCAAAGGGAAGATGTCGGGCTATTGTGTGTGTTTGCGTGTGTGCTGTCAGTCAGGCTGCTCCGGTGGTGACGCTGTCCTCGCGATGGCAGGCAGTCAGGCCCGCTACTGTTGCGATAATTAGTCAAGGATGAAGCCCTCATGAGGGTGTGAGGAAGAAGAGGAACATCAAGAACCAGAGCAAAACAACAGAAACAGAAACAAGACGAGCCAGAAGAAGAACCAAGAAGAAGCGTGACAAAAATAAGAACGAAAAGCAGAAGAAGATGAAGAAGAACAAGAAGAAGACGAAGAGGAAGAAGAGCAAGAAGAAGACGAAGAGGAGGAAGAAGAAGAAGAGGAAGAAGAGCAAAGACAAGGGACAAAGAACATAGGGCAAAAGGCAAAGACAAAAGACAATATCATTCCTAACAGTCCGCATACTTGAGAAACCAAAGAAGACCGCAACAAATGCTTGGCAAGCAGCAAGTGCATCTTGAAGGCTCTTCGTGCGACACTGGCCTCACTACAGAACCAGACACATGTGCACGCCATCTCTGCTAAGTGGGCTGCAGGGCCACTTTCATTTTTGGCTTTTCCCCAACTGGACTTCCGAAAGCCTAAAAGCACCAATGGCAGGTCCAAGAATCAGATCTGGGACTTTTTCACTTGTTGCTAGTTTTTTCCCGGAAGCATTGCGAAGGGTTCCTAAAATCGGCTGCAAACTTCACCTGCAAACTTCTCATGCCAACTTGCCGAGGAGTTATTTCACCTGCCAACTTCTCATGCAAACTTTTCGAGAGCTACTTCACCTGCCAACATCTCATGCCAACTTTTCGAGAGCTATGTCACCCGCCAACTTCTCATGCCAACTTTTCGATAGTTACTCCACCAGCCAACTTCTCATGTCAACTTTTCGGGTGTTATCTCCTTATCCTAAAAGCACAAGCTGATTTTTCGGGTGTTACTTCACTTATCCTAAAACACAAGCTAACTTTTCTTTTGTGCCTTCACTTCTCGACTCTTAATTCTTCTGCTTTTGCTGGCGGGGGCAGGCCCGACAGGGGCTTACGAAACGTACCCATTTGTCTTGAGCGAGGCAAACCCTCTGCGGAGATCGTGCGTGTTGAAGCGCTCTCGCTGTGTCTTGACCGCGGCGAACCCTCTGCGGAGATCGTGCGTGTCGAAGTGCTCTCGCTGTGGCGCCGGCCGTGCGAATTTTCTTGCTTTCGCTGCTCGCGAATAGTCTTTGAAAGTTGTCTCGTGGCTTGCGCGCCTGCTTTCGCAATCGCGGTGTCGCGGGTTCGATTCCCCCCTGGTCCGCGCCAGCTCCGGCTCAAGAATAACAATTCTCAATTGCCAAAGTATAGTACGGAAACTGTGCTCCCGCAGCTCTGGCTGGAAAAGGGAAACTTTGGAGTACAAAAGTGCCACGCAAAGTACGTTCCGGCAGCTCCGGCTGAACTCGCAAGTTTCAAGTATACACAAGCAGCACGCGAAGAGCGTTGCAGCTCAGGATCGAAAATCGTAATTTTTTAGTACAACAGTAGTGCGCGAATTACATTCCCGTGGCCCAAGAATATCTCTGGTTGCAAAATCGCAATTATTGAGTACAAACGTAGTGCGCAAAGCGCACTCCCGCAGCTCCCGCTGCACAATCGCACCTTTTACGTACAAAAGTAGTACGCGAAGCGCGCTCCTGCAGCTCCGGCTCGAAAATCGCAACTTCTAAGTACAAAAGTAGTACGCGAAGTCCATTTCCCAGCTCCGGCTGAAAGCTTGCAAGTTTAAAGTGCAAAGTAGTACGCGAAGAAAAAAATTCCCGGAGCTCCGACTGCAAAATCGCAATGTTTAAGTACAAAAGTACTACGAAGCGCCCTCCCGCAACTCCAGCTCGAAATTCACAATTTTTACGTACAAAAGTAGCGCGCTCCCGCATCTCCGGCTCGAAATTCGCAACTTCTAAGTACCAAAAAAAGTAGTACGCGAAGTACATTCCCGCAGCTCTGGCTGAAAGCTTGCAAGCCTAAAGTGCAAAAGTAGTACGCCGGAGCTCCGACTGCAAAATCGCAATTTTCAAGTACAAAAATAGTACACCGCACTCCCGCACCTCCGTCTCGAAATTCGCAACTTCTACGTACAAAAGTAGTACGCAGAGAGCATTCCCAGAACTCCGGCTGCAAAATCGCAACTTCTAAATACAAAAGTAGTACACGAAGTGCATTTCCGCAGCTTTGGCTCATGGGAGTGCACTTTGCGTACTTCTTTGGTACTCAAAAAAGTTACCATTTGCCATCCGGAGCTGAGTGAATGCTTTTCGCGTGCTGCCTGCATGCTTGAAACTTGCGTTTTTAGCCGGAGCTGCGGGAATGCGTTTCGCGTGCTACTTTTGCACCCAAAACTTCAGAACTGCGGCAGCACAGTTTCCGCATCATATATTTTTGTACTTGAGAATTGCTATTCTTGAGCCAGAGCCGTGGGAGTGCACTTCGCGTGCTACTTTTGCACTTTAAACTTGCGAATTAAGTAGCGCGCGAGTGCAATCCCGCAGCTCCGGCTGAAACATCTCTAAGCTTCTACACGCAAAGGTCGCGCACGAAGTGCGCTCTCGCAAGCCGCAGCTCGAAAATCACAGTGTTTCAGCGCAGAAGCAATGTTCGGAGAGTGCGCTCCATCATGTCCAACTCGCAAATTGCAACTGTAAAGCGCAAAAGAAACACCCAGTTGCATTTGCGCATCTCCAGCTTGAAAACCTTAACTTCTGCATGCAAAAGTAGTGTGCGAGGTACACTTCCGTAGCTACGACAGCCAGCCTTCTTGCGCTGCGCGCTGATTTGAACAAGAGAGATAGGTGTGGTAGAGCATCATGGGCAACATCACGCACAGCGTCACGCGCAGCATGATTTGTAAAATCATGCGCAGCGTCACGCACGGCACCACGCGCAGCTTCGCACACAGCATCAACTCACACCATCGCGCGCAACAGAAACTGACACGAGAAATTGCGAAACATGATGCTAAGATTGCTCATCAGAACTTGCAGAGGCTAGGCTTGAGCAGGGGCATTGACGTTTTTGTTTCTCATGAGGTGGGGGGATTCGTCAGTTTTTTTTGTTTATGTTTCTTTTTTTTTTGGGGGGGGGGTTGTTGCCCGCAACAAGCCACAAGTCAGCTTCTTGCTGGGGGCCTGTGTCTGGCCCATCTTGCCTAACCGTTGCGCAGGGCGCACGCGCTGCAGAGCCTGACGCCGCGGGAGCTGCTGGGGCTTCGGAAGCTGAGCCCAACGGACCAGAGGCCGAGATTGGACCCAAGCTCCGGGGCCGCTTTTTTGAGTTGCACACATTGATGGCAAGACGCTTCCGACAACGAGGCGTATGTGGAAAGAAACTTGGTTGTTTGACAAGGCCGGCTTGCGCGCAGGGAAGCCTAACGAGAGTTTGAGCCCAAAGTGTTGGTGCCTGAAAGTTGCAATTATGATTTGATAAAGATCTGGCGCAATTCCATCATGTTAGTTCTATCACGTTCTTACCGATGGGAATGGGAATTGCCCATCTACTCTAACACGGAGGGGCGCCAGTGGGAGGAACCCCTCAAATAAACAAATTTGGGGGGAGAGAGAGAGAGAGAGAGGCGAGAGAAAGGGGTTGCCAACCCTGCTAAGCATGGTTCTCCGACTAAATCCGAAGTTGACATTTTCAATCAGGGGTCGCATAGTTTGGAAGAGGGGTTCCCGACACCTTGCCGAAAGTTCCTTTGGCGCACGAAAAGTTGAGTATTCTCCCCGACCCACGGGGCAAGTCTCGGAGATCAGTCGTAGCACAGTTTAGAGACGTTTGCGTCGTCAAGCAAGCAAGCCCCGTAACGAGAATGTGCGGTTTGCTGCTAGGAAGTTATCTTGCTGCCCTGTAACAGTACACGTGTTGTCGTGTTTCGGAGCCTTCCCTTGGCATTGTGGGGACCTTACCTGTGTGGAATGGGAGTTGTGGAAGCGTAGTGTCTTTTGGTGACCTTGGAGGCAATTCCCTGGCGCCCATCATAAGCACTTGCTTGAGACAGACGGTTCCAACTGGCCAGCCCACAGACAAGCGCACGCCTGGAGAGGCAGCGGCTGTTGGAGACGGCGGCGCAGGTGCGAGATGCCGACCATCCCCTTCACCAGGCGGGCTGGCCGTGATGTGCAATGTGACGAGCAGTTCGCCATCCACCGTCCACAGTTCATAGGTGATCCCACGCATGGCTTTGTTCCCCCAACATACGCGGCTTTCAGCTGACCTCCTCTGCCTCAGGCCTGCCGCAGCGGCAACGCCGCGGCCGCCGCGGCATTGCTGTCGTTGGGGGACGGCAGAGGCGCGGAAGTTGCGTGGCGCGAGGAGG